GACACGCGATTTTTCCTTACACTTCTGGGAGAGTTATTTGTAATCTGCTCATTTTTCAAATTAGTTGAGCTGCCAGATCTGCTTCCGCTCCCTCCTCTAACTGTCGGATATCCAAGGTATCTACTTCTGCTAGGCCAAAAACTTTTTTCAAAGAGGTACAATGAGGTCAGTCAACGCTTCGGAATTTCAGAGTGAGCCGAACACATGTGCCTTTGAGTGCATGGTGCCCTTTGGAAAATTACTGCAAAAAAGAACCTGTGGGTTGCGTGCAGTACATAATGTTTTTCGTTTAACAGGACTCTTGTTTTCTCTTGCTTCTGCAGATACCTCAGCTAAAGTTTGCTTAGGGGTTTAGTGGCACTAAATGCTTTTTGTTTTCTTTGTAGATCGGCGTGACATCGGCTATGTTCTTGCTATCAATCAAATAGATTATCTTTTCCGTCCAGTATATAGGTAGGTAATGCTTTCACCAGGTTCCCTTTTTAGCAAAACTATGTCTGCTTTCCGAGACCTTCCCTTGCTATATTCGCCTCCGATACTCATATCTCTAGCGCTACATCGTTTCATATTCCAGAAACATTTCTTCTGGACAACTGGCAATACCGTTTTCCTGTTTAATCGCAACTTTACAATTGGTGATTGTGAGGCATGAAAATCACACGGTCTATCATATCGAATCCTGCTACCGTACCTATCATACCTGTGGGGCCAGATATCTAAGTCTAAAAAGGTATAGTGGCTCTCTCGGGTCGGCTCGACAATCGTGTGGGTCAGGCGGCAGTTGTAGGTACCTCAATGATGCTTTTTTTCCCTTCTGAGGCGATGGAAAGACACTTTGATTCGCTGAATCCCGATATTGGAAACGTTCCTGGCTAGGAGTTCGGCAAATTCTATGAAAGCTCGGCTCGGCGGTCAGCTAAGTTCGTGCAAAAAGGCCTTGTGGTATCGTAGAGGATCTTACTCCGAAGTCTTCTAGGGAGTCTTGACATCTTGCAGTTGTATGAAATGGTATTTTACTTCACCAAATATCAGATATTTTGAGAGAAAGTGAGGAAATATAGTCTTGGTCGTGGGTTCAGTTTCGTTCAAGCAGTCGAAAGGAAGAGCTATGGCAAAACCCTCGAGCGGCAGAGAGTGACCTCGAGAGTAGAGGGGGGGGGGCAAAAAAGTCACTTTGCTTCATTGACTTTCGAGGCGCTATAAGTTACACTTTATAAACTCTGATCGGACATTTCTACCACCATATTAAAGAGCATATTAAATACTATTATGACACTCCGCCACAGCCTTCTGGACGAGCGCCATCGAGAGATTCTGGCACGCGACCGCGATGTGGTGCCTGAGATCAGCGAGATGGTCGATTTCTCCGCCACCGTAGACCACCCTATTGAACTCCGCTCGAACCGGGTAATTGAGGGGATTCAGGTCAGGTGACCTACTTTAGATATTCCATTAGTACAGCCCCCTTCCATTCCAGGTTAGGCGAGAGGTTTCTCCAACACCCTTCGGGGCCAGGCTAATTGCTGTAGCAAGCTACCAAAAGCTTCCAACCGAATTTAACGGACGACGACATGTGGAGAAGATATTCTTCTTGAGTTGGTCGATGTAACCGCCAGCGCTCAGCTTCAGCCCGGGTCCACGAAGAAAATATTGGTCTTTCCATTCCAGGTGCGTCCGGTCCATACCATCAACCCGCGCCTTGGCGACTGCCGTGAATGATGATGTCCTTAGGACGCGTAAGGCGTCTTGTCGGAGCTGCTCGATGTTGGAGGTCTTCCAGATTGAGAGTACTAGTCTCCAGGTAGCTACCCATGGGTGACTCCACACTAGAAGTTTCGCAGCTGTTTGGAGGTGACATGAATTCCAAAGGTCTTCTCCAGTCAGGCTGCGACTGGAGATGACTTCATATTTTGGTGTACATGAAGGTGATGGGCAGGCCAGCTCCTGCTTATCGAGGAACATCTTGGGTATCTTCCGCCCTGGTACTCGTATCCACGTCTTCTCTCTGGGCTGCGAAAACTTTGCTGATATGTGACTCGGTCGAAGTGACTTTTTTTTGGCCACCCCTGTATAATGCTAGCATACTCGCCCAGAAAGTCTGAGATTCCGCGCTCGACTAAATTTCCGCTAAGGTCCACAAGTTTGCAGGTATCATCGACGACTCCCAGTTGAACCTTATCCAGACCGTGCGGACCGTGCTGGCGGGCTCCACTTATTTACAGTGACGTTCTGCCCGAGTCATAGGTATGATCGATGGTGAGGACTTCAACCGTTGAGTCATTCTCTCACTGTACCACCTCACTATGAGCACGATCTTCGAACCCATGACGATCTCTGCGCGACGATCTGCACCAGTTATGAGATGAAAAGCAGGCGTGGCGCTGCTCCGTGTGCAACCGACGCTGCTCGGCATGGCACTCATGGCTGGCGACGACCTGTACCCTCTGCGAGTCGGTGGATCCATCAAGCAAACACTACACCTGCCCTCGTCGCTCGTATATAAGTGGCTGCCAATACCACGCCGATCTTTCAACAGAAAACTTCTCGAAACCTCGTCATCATCTTTTAATCACTTTGAACATTTGATTCGTCATTATGAAACTGTTACTTCTCGTCGCTGTCGCTATCGCCAGTACCATGGCACAGTTTAACCCGGTGAGTCCAAAGTATCCACTTTTGATCCATATTGTAATTACAATATTTTATTGCTTGATTTCATATTCACTTTTTCATAATTGCAGTATTGATCGATTTCAGCAGTACCAACAACACCCCAATGCTGTACCACAACAAATGAACCCACCACCAAGGTTCAGCCAATACAGGTACCCTCACTTGTGTCGTGTAAAAATTAGGCGTAGGTGTATAGTTGATGACGTCGCAATCAATGGGGTGATGTCAGGAGGCGTGGACTGAGCCCGTCCCCGGCTGCTTTTCCACCAATAGTGATCGGTTGATGATCGATTAGAAGGAAAACAAACAACGGTAAAAAAAACGCCACGGGTGCGCTCATTCCATGCCTTCTGACACCGCCCCGACTTAATGGGACGACATCAAATGTAACTGTGCTAAACCAACGCACAAAATCATTTTATTTATTTAGTACGCTGTTTCAAAAAACGCACGAAATCTTAAATAGTTAGTCACTCCAGTTCTAAACGTAAGCAATTGCAGCACCAGTAACCAGTACGGACAAGGCTCCGGATACGGTACTCAATACGGTCAAACAGGCTACAATAGCGGCTACGGCAACACAGGCAACAGCTATTCGTCGACCCCGTCGTCATATTACCAAAATGGTTACACGACTACCGGTTACGGTACCAACCGACAGTACGACAATGGAGTGTACTACAATGGTGTGGCATCAACAACGGCCCTGGCTGCTGTCGCCACCGCCGCCATCGCTTACGCCTTGTAAAAATTTCGTGCTCAACGAAGCCTATGATCTTGTCTGCCTTCACGATTTATGTATAGTGCATTTGAGAGAAAGGAAAAAATGAATAAATATATTTCTATGTCGAAGGTTTACTGAAGCGAATATCTTAAGCGGTAACGGTCAGGAGATCGCGTTGCGGCGAGGAGCAAAATCTAGCTGGTGGCCATTAACATCACAGTCAGACGGGGCGTGTCAGCGTTGCGTCGGCTTTGGCGCGGCGCAGCATGTTTTCCATCGTTGTGGCTTCACGCGCTCAATGAGTGGAAAGAGCTGGTGCAGCGCCAAGACTTAAGCAACACTGAAATAGCCCATCTGACTTTGATTCAACGATTGTATCTCTCAGCTAGTTGCTCTGCGACTGCGTTCAGACTGTTTATTTTTACTTGCTCTTCGCCATGACGCGCCTCGTCGCGCTATTCTTGCAAGGAATATGCTACAGTTAAAGACGAGTACGGATTGGCGCCGACCACTAGTGTTTTGTGATAGTATAGCAGTACCGCTCTGTGAACTGACACTTCTAGCGGAAGCGCGAAGAAGCGCGTCAACGCGAAGTCTGAACGCAGCCTCAACATACAGTCAGCATCCCTGCAAGCGATCAAGCGTGTGAAGGGAAGTGACTTGGACCGCAGCCAGAACCGCGGTTCTTGACAAATGCTGCGGACTTAGGATGGCTTCACCGATAGAGAAAGCCGCCTTCGCAGCGCTCTAATCCGTGACATGCCCTATCGGTTGCAGTGATATGACTGTACATACTGTAGCACGTGTACGTTGAGCCGGTTAGATACTGGTGAGAATGTCGCTCGCGTGACCAGAGGCTGTCCCGCGTCGTCATTGTATCGCAACACTGCGTTGAAGCCATGCCACACTGACGATTCTGGCGACCAAGCTGAAAGGAAAGTGTTCATATCGATCCGACGTATTTGACAAAACTTCAGCTACGTTGGATCAAATCGATTCGCATTTTATTTTCTCCTCCTCTTCAGTCATACAATCGTACGATCTTCAAGGAAGGCTCTTACGTTGTGTGATTCGACAGGCCCACAGCTGAGTAGTGTGCCACGTTTGCCGCTCAAAAGTGCACGAGAACGACAGAATACACGAGTACTCTCCTCACTCCGCCTGCGCCATCCTCAAGGTGCAGCACTTGCGACGATGCCAAGGTCCAGCAGCCAATTACGCACTCGGCGGCAGAGAGCAACCATATGTGAAATGGTTCTGAAAAGTAATGCTTTTGGCTGTGGTTAGGCTGCGTTCATACTTTGCGATAGCCTCCAGCAGCGACCACCAGTGTCCACCATCGACCATCAGCCTTTCAAGCGCCCATCAGCGACGGCAGAGCATACTAGCGTCTACCTGCGTCTACCACCGTCAAGTTACCCTCGAGACATATTCCGCGATCCCAACTCGTTTGCCTAGAATACATATAAGACTATCTCGATACTAACTGACATACCAGTGCCACAGGACTGGAATTTTGCTTCTGAGTTTTGCAGCGCTGGAAAGAGGACCAGAGAAAAAGGATGAATAGGAGGCAGAGAGAGACCGAAGTCCATCCCCCACGGAATGAGCGCAACGTATCATCCCTGGGTTTATAG